CTATAAAATGAAGTATACACCAACGTAATATATATAACTTCAAAGTGTAATCATTGTTTGCCTCCTGTTGACCGATTCTGGGTCGTAAACCAAACATATTTTGGAAACGCAGTGCAGACACTATGTTATCGCGGGTCCAAGAATCATACATAATTGACAAAACTGGAAACTAGGTGACAGCAATGAAGCTGATGTTCTATTGTGTACAGTTATTACAAAATCAAAGTATGTTCTATCTGCTATTTTCAAGGGACTTGGACGCGCTTTTTTGGTGCGTTGGCCTGTCCCCAAACTAGTTGGTGATGTGGATTTTATATCGGTTTCTATTTCCCGCGACATTTATACTAATTGTAGATGTGTTCGGTACAGGGACAGATTTCCAGCGATTAATCTTCTCTTGCTGAAAAGTGTGTTAGATGCAAGATAAAATCAACATAAACCTAACTACTATGAGCTTTACATTTCAAGTTGGTACCTGAGCCGCGTTGCCATACAATATACAATTATTGACCTCTCCAGAGGTTTACTGTCAAAATTATATCCCGAGACTGTAAACCAAGACCGTAGGTCGAGGTTTACAGTCGAGGGATATAATTTTGACAGTAAACCGAATGGAGAGGTCTATAATTGTTTTGTTAGTCCGAAGAATATCTTAGATTTTTCTGACCCTTGAAGTTGACTTGAAGTTGGATCCAGACCCTCGAGACGTTCATACGGCAGTAAGTTCACTCAATGGAGTCAAATTACTCTCCTGGGCGAAGTCCACTAAAAGCTTTGTACAAAGTTTTAGATTTTTCTTCGTATTTTGACTGTCTTTACTCTCTAAGAGACTAATAATATCCTCATCTTCAACATTTTGAAACGGCTAGTGCTAGCGGTGGCCATTTTATCGTCTGATAATGACGTCATTTTAGTGGAATGCTGGGAATATTATTCACCGGCAATGCATTGCGCGGTGTACAGTTAAAATTATTCACCGCTCGTTGACCAATCAAAATCGAGTATTTCAACTGAGGTACTAACAATATAATCTATGATGTCGACTCGTTGCCATATTTCAGAAAATGACGGCCGCGTTTCCGGCGAGTTCAATTTTATTGCAGATTGCGAGATCAACAAACAAAAGACGTGTCGCAAAAAGCTCGCGCACGCATTGTTACACATTTTGTGGCGTAATCCAGAGGATCCTCGCTTTTAACATGATAGAATGTGACGTTTTTGAGAAAAATGTACACACATGAAAATCCTTTCGTCCTCCACATTTGCCTCTATATCTCAAAAAATTTTGGACGAATAACTCTGATATCATATATATATTGTTAATGGGCTAGGAGCATCATAAAACACGAATCAATTGATATTTTAGGTGAAATAAATATACGTGTTGCTGTGCTTGAAAATAGGCGAATGGCGTAAATTAGCCCTATTTTAATGAATTTTGAAAACCTTTCGTCCTCCACTTTTCCACATACAACAGAAAACACATACTTTTGTAAACAAAATCAACTATTTATTAATAAACAAGAGTTTAGAAGCAAAATAATCATGTATGATTTATTAAAAATTGATCTCGTATTTTTTGTTTAATGTACACCTGAAAAGTTGAAGGTACCAAAAAATGAGCAAAAAAGGTCGCTGTCAACAGATTCTATTTTTCAGACTCTATGACGTCACAATATGGGACGCTTACTAAAATTCATCCTTTGAAATAAAACTTCCATCTACCTTTATCAAGACTAAAAATAAGTATAATAGTCATATATTGTTTGAGTTATGAGCGTTTAAAGACGAAAAATAATTCAAAATGTAACGTGTCAACATGGGATATTTGCCAGATGTTTTGGTAAAAAACTCTTTTTTAAAAACGAACGCGCAAAAAATGTGAACGGAGTGTAGTTGATCTAAAATCTTCATCGAAACAGCTTTAAAATGATATATAACTTTAATTAGAATATTATCTTATAATCCAGGGAATCAAAGTTACATTCACGCGATACCCTTAAAAAACAAATGCGCCACCTTTTTGCGACACGTCAAAGTTTCAATTTTAATTTGTACGTATGTATACGTACATTCTATATGCATCAGGCCATTGACTGCCAACGGTGTACTTGCTCATGAGTAGCGAAGTACCACCTAAATCGGCAGACAGTTCAACAAAATAGAATCGGGAAATCATCATTTGTGTTGACTTTTTCTTTACACTGATCAATGCTTGATCAGAAATTTCTATGAATTTACATCCCTTGAGGAATTGTTCACCGAATGTGAAGCACGAGTTTTCAAATGGAGGACGAAGTGACTTAGATAATCGGAGTTGTCTCCATTTCGTCTGTAACGCGTTGCAGCCTCGTTTTGAACAGATACGCGTGGCTACGCCGTGTCACCTCAATCCACCTTGGAACTAGGGTTGCTAATCCTCTACGGGTAACAATGGGACGGCCAAAAAACTTTTAGGTCCTGTGACCTTACCAATATATTGAACATACAATGTGCGAACCTTATTAAGTTCCGTATACATACAAGTCGATTTAGAACAAAATGTTTTAAATGCAGTCATTACCTCATACCAAAGTAGCAGTAGGCCTATGACATTTCTTATATTTAATTTTGTTAATCTGAACATTCATATTCATTAAACATGTCGCCATTTTTGAATAAATATGAGACAAAATGGTGAATTATGTATCTGCGTCATTCATACTATGAACGCCTATAATATCATCATCATATGTTCCTTGAATGTTTTTTGTATGTCAGAATTTTACCTTAGATTCCAAACATGTAATCAGACTTTGATAGTACTGAAAATTGAAAGAGTTATTTAAAAAGTGACCCTCGAACAATTCTGTCCGGCCTACAATATATACAGGGTGGTCCAAAAAAGTGAATCCCTGCAACAGGCTATATATTCCTAAATACTTGCATGAATAGACTCATATTATCACATGTTTTAGAGAAAGATCTAAAATTTTGGTTGATGCCATAATGTAATCTCAGTCTTATATTTTGAAGAAATTACAAGAGTTTAGCAAACAAGCCTGCTGATAATTAGATATTGTGCAAAATTATACCAATGTGATTCACAGAAATTGTTGAAGCACATTGGATGATCTTAAACAGCTTTCAGTTAGAGATACAAGTTTAAAACCCTACCATATGACAAAAGGGACACTGTTAAAGCAGAAAACACGTACATTTCACACTTTCAATGATCATTTTGAAGCATGCAGTTTTAAAAATTCAACAGTTCAGGGGTATGTTACCTACACCAACAGTTAGAGGGGGCCTCTTGTGGAAGGAAGTTGTGACCAGGAATCTGAGAAATCCTTCATCAAATATCCAATATTCAATGTCTTGAGCCATATTTCATAATTAGAATCGATCGGTCAATGATTTATGAAGATTTATGACATTTCAATATCATATAGGGGTATGTTCGCGATTTCACTGGAAAATGTTATCGTCTATGGAAGCTTCGAATATTTCTTTGGTTAACAAGAACTTTGCAAATAACAAAGGTAGGGTGCTAGTTTTAAGCCATAATGTGCAGGATTCAAGATTGAACAAAGTGATCGATATTACTTCTTTAAGACTGCATCTTAAAAAATATCAGGGGAAGGGTGTTGAATGGTTTAAGAATAGCGGATATTGAAAATCACATTTTATCCATTTTCAGTAATATTTGGTTAGGGCTTATAATTTCTGCTTTCAAGACTAAGAAAAATGTATGGTGCCAACATAAATTCTTGTCCTTCCTCTACAACCCGGAAAATATGAAAGAATTCCTGAAAGTAATAAAGGGAAATATGGCCATTTGCAGGGGTTCGCTTTTTTTGAGCACCCTGTATATGGACGATAGTATGGGTGAAAACTGTGGTCAAAATCAAACTCGTTCACGGCCTTCATACTATATTGGAGTTCAAGATACCTATCCTTACAAAAATGTTCATGGATCTCGAGTCTTGTAATTACATTATTCAGTCAATTCGCCCACTGAATACGTCATCATACGAGATGCACGCATACAAGCAGACAGCAAACGCATTTCTTGGGGCATCTATAATAATTTGGTTCTAACTAGTTACCACGCATAACGCAAATTCATTTGACGCCAAAATCCTCCCGTAGCACCAAATAATTGACTTAAACTGATGCCCTGTTAAATGTGAACACCTACCAAACATGTAAAGTTATTCACTGTTTGAAATTGAAGAACTGGCAACTTGCAACAAATCGTAAATCGTTCTCGATCCAGACTTTGCAAATATTTGAAGACAAGTAAGTCTGTTTAAGTGATTCGATTGCACTACTGGGAAATCATGTTCTAATTGACCTAGGTATTGTACCTTATTGTCTTTGCTAATTAAGAAACGCCTTTGAGAAACATGGGCAGTAATCGTAAAAGTGTCCTTCGAAGCCTTACTAGAAGATAAAGACAATGGGTATACAATTTCAACAGTTTTCTGATAATCTACTTTCAATTTTTCCGTGTGGTCATTATCTCACGTGGTGGTTCAATTAAAGGACGTAAAATGATATTTTAGCTCACAAGGCGAGCAAATGCACTCACGTGTTTTATCTGAAGTGTCTGACTTATGACTGTTTGACTTATGGCTCTTGGTTCAAAGTCCACATATTTTCAAAATGGCCGGCACCTTAATGCCGAGAAATCATGTTTTCATTCCTTTTTTGTCATTAATCAAAATGTATTCAATCGAAAAAAAACAACAAAAAAGTTTTAAAAAATAATATCGTGTACAAATTGAACTAGATTAATCATTTAACCGTCAAATCAAGTTCCCTGAAAGGGACGTCGCTTTCTGAGTAATTGTGTAATTGTATGCTCCACCTGTATGCGACAATAATTGCCTCATTAGACCTCGGGTATCTCATTAATTTTCCTATTATTATAATTCTTTATTTTAATCCATTGACTTATGTCATAAACTATTGGTCATTAGTATTGTTTTGGGATGATACGTCTGAAAATTGAGGATTGACATTCATAAGCTAACTGGCAGGCGAGAAGTTACTTCACGGCACTGAACAACAGATAGATCGTCAATCAACATTTCGCACCCATTTCAGGTAAGAGTTTCGTTTATCAGCGACATATAATGTGAACGCCATTTGAGTTTTACGTTAATTAATCAAATCCTCGTGTGTGCAAGAAAATTCTAAATTCAATTAACTTTTTTATTATCGCCATTATTATTTATTTATTACCAATTTCTCAAATCACGATTTCTCCTTATTAGATTTTTTGTACATTAGACAATACATAACTGTCTTTGTTTGGGTGGACAAGAGAAATCTTCTATTACAGTCAATCACAATATTTGTACTATATTACATTACGTATTATTGAGGATATTTCCGCGAATATACGAACGTACTTGTGGACACCATATGCAACATTATATAATATATAGGGTGTAATAAACGATCTCCCCAGAACATTGGGCGTATGTATGACGTCGTCATATTTAGTAGGGCAATCAAATAGTTGCTGTTTCGATAAGTCGACCATAAAGTGAACACAACTGAACGACTCAATACCATTCTTGATTTTATCATTTTTAGGATGTATATACAAGTGGTTTCCGTTCTCAGTGTGATGTGCTGCTCGCTTATGCTGCACTTTGTCGAAGGGCAGCATACCCATTTTAGCACGGGCTGGGCACCGGGCTTTGGAGTTGGAAAGAGGGGAGGAATGAAGGATTATCCGACAGAAAACTGCGAAGAGAAATTACAAACCTACATGCGTATACTAGAAAAAATATATGTAAGTGTAGACTAATTTTAAAAAATCTATCATCTTGTTTTAATATTCATTAACGCTCTTCAAAGTATCTGGGTTTGGCTTTACTTTCATTTATTAACTATTCTTTCCTGGTCAATTGTTATCAAGTTAGGTCCGCGGGTATATGTTAAAAGAATTAATCTCAGAAAGTGGTTCTTGGATGATATTTTGTCTAATAAATTGTGGATTTATTGCATCATCGTAAAAATACCTTTTATATGGGGGTCACTTACATCTAAATTATAAATCGAACAACAATTACATGGGATCGTCTTATTTTGGGAAGACCGGGGGCTTGACATTTTATTTAGAAATGTATTATAGAACTTTTTAGAACATTTACACGGTGATAAAAAAGCGGCAGTGGAAATACCCCATTTGGATGACCACGCCGTGATTATTTATGAAAATATTATATATGATTTTCAAATAAAAAGTACCTGTTTATTATTAAAAAACAACTTGGAAATTATTTCGCACAATTTGTCACTGTAAAAGCTACAACTCAATATAATCAAAACTAAAATGACAACATTTGATAGCGTACATCAAGTTTTTTATTCTATTGATTTATATTGAAAATATTAGAATCTCGTTTGCAAATTGAGCCGCAACACAGGGGTTGTAGCAAATTAAGGGTGACAGTAAACGCGCAGGGTAAGGAACACGAGGGTGATGAAATTTGAGCAAACTGATATTTTTATCGTTTCAGAAAGATCTGGTCTAGTTTCTAGATATTTGTATGTACATGTCTGTAACGTTATCCTAGAAAGTGAACTTGATTGATTGCTGACAGTAAATCTCAAAGTTAAACATGGTCGCAAACTTTGTTTGGGCTGGAAAATTTACCTGAAATACCGTATATTACATTCGTAGTTTGTGTAGGTTTAACTATGAAGTTCACTGTCTAGGGTATTGTAACAGACCTTGACATATAAAAATATTTTTCTGAAATAAAAACAACAATTTCATCACCCTTGTGTTATACCTTACCTCGCTCGTTCAGCTGTGACTGTTAAGTCCCTGTGCACACGTGCAAAAAGAAGGTACATGTTTGTTCCTTCTTATTAATAAAAAACTAGATGTCAATGAAGAATTGTATATGATTCCCAAAGAATTTGCAAAACGCAAATATTTTAAACATTTCGATTTAATTTTGTGTCACTTTTATGGCGTCAGAATTAATAGAAAACAAAATAAATTAATAAATACATATCTCAGTCAAAGGTCGAAGCGTTCGCATTTTTGCTGCAAAACAATTAATCTACAGTGAAACCTGTCCACTGGGACTGAAAAAAATCAATGTTCGGATTGACAGATATTCACATTTATGGGTTTTAGCAATGGTATCTACTATAGCACATTGAGGTGCAGATCACTGAGGTGATCGGATATAAATGTACATGTTTAACAGTAGAACATCCAATGAGACCGACAACTGAAAGATAGACACATATCAGATCAAAAACTTTGCAAGACCAAATAAAAAAAATACTTGGTCTTAAATAATAGAAAGATTTCGCAACTCTCTTATATAGCATGTTAATTATTCCCGTGTAATGTATAAGTTATAACTTATAAAGCGTTTGATTACGTCATCATTTATTGCGCATGATCTATACGTACATATCAGAGTGAATTTCTAATAAATCGTCGTCTAAACGTAATTTATGAATATTTCATGTATTGCTTATGCAGTTATGTATGATGCAGCATTTCGTTGCGGCGTCTCTATATGACACAAACGTTGGTATGATCGAAAAGCCAAATGTCCATGGCAATGGTTTAATTCGGTGAAACAAACGGTAACACCCGTTACCGCATTCTGTTACTGGCCTGTGATGCAGATCAGATCTAAATTGCGCATGTAGTAAAGATCATGAATTTATTATATCATCATTATGTTTGTCACTTTCTCATAGGATAATTAGAACCAATCATATGATTGAAAATATGTTTACCATCAGAAGAAGTGAGTATCTCCCAAAATTACTTGCCATTTTATGTTACTCATTTATAATTAAACAGCATTATGCACATTATTCGATACGCTATCCAAATAATTAGTAAGATATTATCACGTGAACAATCACGAGTACATGTTTGCTAAGAACTGCACATGCGCAAACTGTAAAATTTGAAATCGTTGAAATGGCAGTTATCTCTGTTTATCCCAGTTGAACATCATCAATTCTAAACTACGGAAATACTATTCCAATTGAGTTATCCAAACTTTTTGAGAATATTCAGAAAGAAACAGCGAACTTGTCCCAGAAGCAATATTTTGTTATTTTTCGTATCGAATTCCTTTAATAGATATATCTGATTTGATTTAAAGATCTTCATGCTGTTTTCATTATTTCCGTTTCAAGTTAATTATGTTGTCTTTGTTATAGCCAAATCCATAGTATATCTCGACAGCATTTGCATAGTGTATCATGAGTGTACGCTTCCTAAAATATAAGTTTTTAGTCGCGAATTTGTAAACTGGTATATACAAACGACTTTTAGATAGTCTTTACCGTACCTATTTTGTAATTTAACAATCAACACTAGACAAGTATACATACACTCCCCTCCATAAGTTTGGCAACCTTAGCTCCCCCATCGAACTACGTGTTAAAGCCTCTTTACATTTGAATTTTTATTTACTTAACCGGCGATGAAATAACTTATAATGTTGATAGAAACGTAACTTGACTATTTCCAATACCTTCAAGTTTTCTCATTTTTTCCTCAATCACAATTGGTCGAAAACTGATTATAAAGTTGATGAATTTTCTAAAATCGTCATTCCCATGTAATCCAATGGGAAGTGGAGGGTTTGGGGCAAATCAGAAATCTGGATATCTTTTCAGTAAAAGATTCAGCAAAAAATATTTCTATAGAGAAAATTGAATTGTCTAACTTTTTTGTACACTAAGTGTTTTGTTTATTTGATGAATACTAAGGTTACAGCGCTTCAAAGTCATTTTTGAAAATAATTGTTCGCCTCCTATGTTATTTCAATGGGAGAGGTTTTTTGAAAAGCAATTTTGACTTTAAAGCCCTATAACTTTGTTGAACCTGGAGAAACATATCAATTTTTTGTTAAATAAATTTGGCAAATTCAATTGCCTACCTAGCTCGTATTTTTTGCAAGGACTCGGATGGATGGATATTCTGTCATATGACAAACTTGTTTGTGACAAACCTACCACTTCCCATTGGTTGACATGGGAATGTAGACTTTCAAAAAGTCATCAAATTTATCATCAATTTTCGACTTATTGTAATTGAGGAAAAAAATTGAGAAAATTGGAGGTATTGGAAATAAAGTCAAATACGTTTCCATCAATAGTATAAGTATTTTCATCGCAGATTAAGTAAATAAAAATTCAAACGTAAAGAGGCTTTTAACACGTAGTTCAATGGAGGAGCTAAGGTTGCATGTATAGTTCGAAAATAAAATCATCAAGGTTTTAAAGCATGAAATCGACTCTAAAGCATGAAAAAAAAATTGGACCATTTCAGTCGGCGTACATGTATGTTACAATGTGCCTATTTAAGTGTTCTCAAATAGAACAACTGACACCTGTTTTGTATGTTCTGTAAGTCAAGAATGAGGACATTCCAATAATATAATGAATCAAACATTCCATTCTATCCTTCGGACTGCGGGAAATATATACTGAGGGAAAGATGAGCATGTATTCAACGAAAATAGAATGAATATATTTTGAATTTAGAATATTGTATTATATAAAATCCTTCTATTTACTTCCAGTCTGATGGAGACGAGGATGTGATCTCTTATGCCTTACCAAAGTTCTTAAATAGAATCGAACGCCTGACGAAAGAGTGTCAAGACAATTTGAAACCCTTTTATGCTGAAACAAATCGAATCAACCCCAATGGAGCTGAATAAACCAAAATAATTCAGAAAGGAACTTAAAATTCTAGATCAACCTGACGGGAGAAAGGCACATTGGACTTAAATTGAAAACATTATATATTGACACCACGAGGCTACCGAGGTCGTCTGAACATATTATCTAACAGGCTGTACAATCAAATTATCCAAACCCTATTGATCACCCTTCATTGTCTGTAAAGTTTGATAAATGATATATTTTGCAATGATAAGCCGTATTTTCTAAACTAATTTGTAAGTTCGTTACACTTAGGTTTCACAAATAAATAATATCAACAAATGGGAATCTAAAACATATTCCAATCGATGTTCATCCATTTTGATACGAGATGGATTGCTCCCGAAGTAAAGGTGATGCACCAATCCTCGTTTATTTGTATTCGTAATTATGAGATATATCTGTCTGAACAATTTGATAACGAATTTTTGTGACGAGATCAAAGGGACGAAAGATAATGCTTCCAGATTGATGTACTAATACATACTTTGGCCCTGTTCTCGTGTATCAATTCTGTGAAACGACAGAATGGTTTAAAGATAAAATTGGGGAGGAAATTTAGAAAAGGATGAGATCAGAAGGTCATTTAGTCCAATTTCCTTCTTTTTATATAATTTTGTCTTCGTTGTTTCTTTAACTATCCTGAAAATCACGGGCAAAAAACATAATTACAAGACTTCATAATACCGTGAATTCACTTGACGGTACCACCGTTCAAGCATGGTACAACTAAAGGATTGGCCAAAAAACAATACACAAGTTTGAAGATGAATATAATTTGATACATTATGTTAAACCATGCCATGTATCATATATCATCGATTAAAAAACTTATGTTTTCTTGTGGAGTAAGAGGCTAAAATTGACACCAGGGGTGTATTTTGGCACCTTCAAAAGAGGTACATTGAAGTTAAGTGAAAAATTCACCCATAATATTATATATTTTTAATTAACTATCAATTGTGTATTACTCTTAAATAAATTAAAATGATTCAGAGAAGCACACTGAGTACAGCTCTGACTGCAATATGGATACAATTTGGGGAATTTTCATTTTTGATTTTTGGTCGATCATGACACCCTTGGTGTCAATTTTAGGCTCTAACTCTACAAGGAAACAAAAGATTTTAAATAGTTTGTGGCATATTGTTAGGAAATGATATATAATACATGGCTTGGTTTAACATAATGTATCAAATGATATTCATCTTCAAACTTGTGGAATGAAACATGAGGCATATGGTTTAATATATATCATTTAATATTTATCTATAGCTTATTATTGTTTTTTTGGCCCACCCTGTAGTACCACACAAAAAATGAAAATACCCTCCGTAAAGCATTGATGCCCTGTTTAATGCCCTATTACTATTGAAATTGGATTCTACCAATACTATCCCACATGAATGTCTAAGCACAAGCGCCAAAGGTCTACTTGTTGAGGCTCAATCAACTTGAGTTCTTCTAAGATAATGAGGATTTTGTATCTATCCCCATGATGACATGATGATATTCCCATGTTAATCAATAGTGTCTATCCCCATGCAAGTCGATACACCATTGTCGAAATCCCCATTATCTCAGAAAAATTAGAAAATTGATAGAAAAAGTACATGGATTCTAAGGTGTAAGAAATTGGGTTTCTAAACAGGACAGCATTGGGCTGCCTTGATTTTTAGAACTTTTTGTTGGCTCTAAACGTGTATCTGCATATTCGGTGATAACCTTAGCTTACCGCCTGTCCTAAAATTGTCGTTTTATGGTGAGGCCTGGTAAGTTGCCACGGATAATTACATAAATGTTATTCAGTAAAATCAGAATATAACTATTTCTAGTGTCGTACGCGTCTATTAGTCTTTCGCCCATTAGTCTAGTTCAACAAGTTAAACCCACACCAAAACCCAAGCTAATGAGAGAGAGTTTTAAGGGAAAGATGGGAAAGAGAGAGCGAAATAGCTCGTAATTTGAGATTCTCTCTACTAAAACATCTCTCCTACTCATCATGTTATTAGAAAGATGTCACTGGCGTTGTGAAACACAGCTATTGACTGAACATCAGATCTCTTATCTCATTCTAAATCTTCAATATGAAACAATTAATCCTAACCTTTAATGACAATATGAATGAACAGACTGGCTTGTGGTATGCAAGTATATGAGGTCACTTCAAGATTTCAAAGCAGGACCTCTGAACATTCGTTTGATGAGAATGCGTCATATGCCCACACTGAATGTGAAAATTACAACCGCCATTTAAAACCCCTAAACTTAGAAATGGAAAAGGTAAGGGAGTCCAAAAAATTACAGAAAATCACGCACTAGTATAGGAGTACAAAGCTAAGAACAAACGATGCACATGAGAACTAAGAATAGACCAGTCACATTTGCTGATTATACAAATTATACAAATCATGGCAAATAGTAATAACTTATAGATTAACACGATTACACACTTTCGTTTTCAAATCAACCAAGTGTTGGCCTAGATCATGACAATGTTAATATTGCGTTGACGCACACTCTTTATTATGATCCATCAAGTGAAGTTCAGAGGGATATGGGAAACGTCTCCGTCCGTCTGCTATAACTCAAATACTGTGTTGGCCCGATTTTGTTCATATTTTGTACACATATGGGGGTAGAAGTTCTGCTTGAAAGCCGATTTTCAAAATGGTCGCTCATTTAAAAATGGCGCCCGTTTTAAATGGTATGTCATTTATTGACATTAGTTTTGGACCAAGTTATAAACATTGCGAAAGTCAGTGCACGGGACCAGATGCCATTGGAAGAAAAAAAACAGTGATGACTGCATCCTTTTCATTCAAAATTAATTGAATTTACTAAATTAACATATTTTCAATGAAACTTTTTGCAAGGGTCAAGTTCGCAAGTTATCAATTTCAATCTGAGGAATCCAGTATTCACCTGACATACAGCACGCTCATCAGGGGTGTACTAGCAAAGGAGTGGTATCGTTATGGAGAACTTTTTGAACACACGTTTCTCTTAAACCAGACATAAAAAATCTAAAAATGTAACACATCGTCAATTTAATGGTTATCTTTTGAATGGTAACAATAATAATTTGAAAAATAAATATATACTTTCATCTATATTGTTTTAGAAAACACATCAAACACTTGTTTTGTTCTTGGCATCATGTTTCAAGAGTGAAGTGAAACATCTTTCCGAACCTCGATCATTGGAGCAAAACGACATAAACACAACATGTTTAGGTCTCTCAATATTGTAATTGTACAAAGGAAATTTTGGTTGATTTTAAAAAAGTATCTTGTTAATGAAATAAAAGGTTTATCTTAATTTTTATCTATTTTGGGGGGATTTGGGTTCAGAAAGACATTTTATTTCATTCTCAAGAATTGGTAGAAAGGAGCAAAAACAATTGCACTAAAAATCAAAAAATGTTAACAAAAAAGTTGTCAATCAGTCAACAATACATAAAATACCGTGTTTTTACAAAATGTTTTCAATGATTGGTTTAAGAGAAAAACATTGTTGAATTCAGTTCTCCATATCGATACCAACCCTTTAGCCCACACCAAACGTTCGGGAGAAATTATGAATTATGTATGTCAAAATTTCGTTTGAAATCACTGTGTGTCAATTCCTCGATTTTTTTATATTTTGGATCGTCCCCTTAAACCTAAATAGTTAGAAGGGATAAAGTATTCGGGACAATGCTATAATCAGAATTACACTACACTGCTAGTAATAAAGTTGATGAAATACTGCTTTCATAAATTGGGAGCAATTTTAAGTCAAGAATCGTTTAACGAATAACAATTATTTTTGAAAAAACAACTATAATTTTGAAAAAAAGTAGAAAATATATTATACAAATAGTGACTGCCATTGAGGGCAATAGTGTAAATTATTTCCCCGAGGGAATATCCTCTACAATGTACTATTCCCGAAGCCGTGGGCTGAGGGAATAGTACATTGTAGAGGATATTCCCAAGGGGAAATCATTTACACTATTGCTCGAAATTAGACAGTCACTATTTGTTTTATTATATACCCTATACTGACTCTTGTCCCGTTTCCTCTGCGAAGGCCAAAAATGCTTAGAAAGCCCCCTCCCCGGGTCCATTGTTAGCATTATAAGCTGTGACGTTATCAGATGCTCAACAGAAATTTTTGCCTCTGAGACTCTCACTTGACAAATTCAATCGCGTTTAACACGCGGAATAGATTATCATAACACTTGAAATTACACAGACGTATTGAGCTTAGGGAACTTTATACACGTTGCTTATATTGTATCGTTCACGCACGTCTGTCATGGTGAACGGAGTTGATTTGTGTTTGTGCTCATCCTCCATTTTTCTGTTTTTCGTCTGCGCAGTGATGATGCGCAGACGTTTCCAAGGGTAATAGAACTTGCAATTGTGACGTCAGCGGGCAATAGTTCAAATGTATATTCCCGCTGACGTCACATTTGAGGGAATATAACTTTCCGAGAGAATAGTAAATCTATTTCGGAACACGTGACTAGGTATTGACCAATCAGGATTAGTGTTACATATTGGGTATATAATAAATCCTATTGTTCCATGAATTATATTTGAAGAAGTGAACTTAGAGATGACCGTTGACCTCAATTTTTTACGGAAACAGAGTGTAAAAGACATAAGAAAGATCGAAGTACTTAAAATTGTAACCGAGTTTATTTAATAATTCAGAAAAGATCCATTGTTTGAAATAATAAAAAAGTTAAGTATATTTTCACGAAATATCATTTTAAATTTTTATTTTATCAATTAAATAGTAAAAGGATAGCTTTTGGGGAATGGTGTGAATAGGTGGCTGAGATCATTGACCGATAAAGCTCAGTAGGCATGAGCGCCAATGAATCGATATAGCCACTTTGTTAAGTCCTGCTATCTGGTATTTCACGCATAGCTAGGCAAGATGTGTCCGATTTTTGTAATTTTGCAATGTGTGAAAATAATTTCTGCACGCCATGAGTAAGGGCGTATCTTTACTAGACTCATACTGAATCCAATGTACAAACTCATATAAAGGCCCGGTCACACCGCCTAAACGTTGCTGGAGCGTTCCTTGAACGTTGAAAAAAATCATCAGCGCTCATCAACGTTCACCACCGTTTAACAAAAGTTGGCATCCGTTAAAGCAACGCTGTAAACGCTCGGCCAACGCAGATGTTTCTCGAGTGGCCATCCTAACGCTCCAAAAGTTTTGAGCTGCTCAAAATATTGCGAGCGTTGAAAAAGGGACAATCTTACGCTCTGGCAAAGTTTATCAACGCTCCACCAACGCCCAGTCAAAGTTTGGCACCGCTAGACGCAAGTTCGTGGACGCTTGAATCCGCTAGACCAACGCAGAAATCTTAAACGCTGGACCACCGCTGCTTCGCCAGCGTTGCCCGGGCGGCGATTAAACGTTGCACAAACGTCGGTGGAGCGGTTGTTAGCGTTTTATCAGCGTACATGGGGTTGTTGGAACGGTGTCGGACGTTGTCGCAGCGTTCCATGGCGGCGATGAACTTTGCTTTGGCGTTGGTATAGAGGTGTCGGAGCGGGACCAGAATGTGGCTATAAATACGTGGAGAAATGCAGGATCGGTGAACTGGCAGGATAGAGTGGTGGCTATCAACTGAACACTGTGTAGAACACTGTGGAGACACTTGTGCATTTTACATTTGATATATATTCATGTCTGGCATTTCAATTTTTTGCATTGTAAATTCCTAAATTAAGCGCTCAAAGTTTGTGATTTTGGATTTTAAAAAGGTGAATTATGCGATTTTTGTTTTTCATTCATTAAATGTTAATACAAATAGACTTTTACTGAGACCTTTATTCAAATATAGTATATACCTAGTGTTTTCACGTCAAGCAATTCAATAAATTATCTGTGAATTTTCTGCGCAGCTTGTAAAATGTTGCACTCGTCATGGTATTATACAAAAGGTTGATGCGCGCACAGCAATGCAAAAATTTGTCATGCGTCATGATTATTACTTTGCTGTAAATGTTATTTGACATTGTTAAAGCAATTTGAACGTAAATCGGTTCCAAGTAATGGAAATGCAACGATTAAATTGTGATATGTTTGTTTGAAATGATATGAGAGATTATTAAAGAAAGTAATGTTATTCATTCCGTTCAGCTCAGTTGTCAACGCGATATGCTGCTAAAACAACGCTGCTGCTATTTATACCCCCGCCGAGGCAACGCTCTCATGCGCAGAACGCCGCTATACCAACGCTCGCATTACCGCTAAACAAACGCTAGCTACCGCTCGCAACCGCTTAACCAACGCTAAAGCAACGCCGGCTTCAGCGGTGCACCGCTAAGCCAACGCCCGTGTTTTTGTTTTTTTCCCCATTTTGTGCGCGTTGACGAGCGTTGATGAATTTTTTCAACGTTCAAGGAACGCTACAGCAACGTCCGGGCGGTGTGACCGGGCCTTTAAGAGTTTTCTTGAGGCAACACCGACAGACGCCATATTATTACCACCTTGCAGGGCCTGTTCTAGGGGTTCTAGTACTAGTTGAGAAGGCATTTAAATTGCTATATTGACGTGAGCAATATTGTGTCGGGCGTTAATGACTTTAGTCGGGCAATAATGACATTTTCCGCCCGGCTATGTTTCCCGGGAAAAGTGATATCGTTCAGTGCGTAAGATTTTCTATTTCAAATTTGCTATTTCAGCCCTGGTCATTAACGGTGGTGCCTGCGGCCCTTGGTCCAATATTTCACTATATTGCCCTTTGAAATGACGTTATTGTACAGGGTGTCCAAAAAAATAACTCGGTCAATTTTGCATATTTTGCCTTGAAATTTCAGAATTATTTAGTTCATTCAATGTGAATTTTGTTGTGAAAGTTTGATAATAATCTACCAATTGAGTCAAAAACTACAGCTCCTTACAAAACATGCCCCAAATGTGCAAATCTCATCTCTATGCACAATTCAATCCGGTGAACAAAGCTGTTGATGATCCTCCTACACACATGTCTTTCTGAATGGACAAATTTGTTCCAAGAACAATTGCTACTGGGGCTATCTTCCTCCTGATGAAGTGTTACATCATCCATTGCATTCTGAACAATGCACTCCCTGAGTGGCAATGAGGAAACATGGATCATCAGTCCCTTTTGGTTCGAAGGTGACTGGGGACTTGCTATCACCATGAACAAGGACCAGTAAGTTCTCACCAAGTTTTGGAGGTCACTAAGCACCAGAAGGGACATCTAAGGAGATAATTAAGCAGTGGTTTCAACAAGCCAACACCACCCCAACACTGCAAATGATATGCTGAAATGGTTTATATATATAGGCAATGCTTTGGTGGTCAGCTCATCAGTTGCAGAACGCAAACCATATGGGCAGCTCATTCGCCAGATCTAAATCCACCAAATTTTCATCTTTGAGGATTTCTCAAAGTCATTGTGTATACTGACAGGCCCCTAACAATCTTAAGAGGGTAATAACTACCCCAATAAATACCATCCACATTAATGTGTATAGGTCAGGGTCATTAACAACTTTGTTCGCAGGATTCGTTTATGCATGGAGAGGAAAAGTGCCCACTTTGAGCATGTTTTGTAAAGGACCGTAGTTTTTGACACAATTAACAGATTATCATCAAACTTTCAGATCAAAATTCACATTGAACGAACTAAATAATTCTTAAATTTCAAGGCAAAATATGCAAAATTGATCGAGTTATTCAACTTTCTTACGGTCCTGTTTTTTTGGACACCCTGTACTATTAGCATTTAACTTTGAGACACGGTCCCCAATGATAAATGGCTCAATGGAGACAGAGCGATCTCTTCTTCTTGCGAATGGCCACTTAAAATCAACATTTAGAATACCTGAATTTGTCAGTTTTCTCGACAGACGTGGAGAGTCCCACTCGATGTTCCTCCTTTTTGGCGCTAGACTGGGATGAAGCGTGTTTAGCCAGTCGCCGTCCGCCGCGACTGTGGCTTCGGAACCTTTTATCATTTTTAGTGCATCACAACATTTGCCCTCTGGGTGTCTAGCGTTGTCATATAATAGTGTATTATATAAAAAAATCTTCGATTTACAATGGAGTTCTTTGGAATGGACACAATTTCAACATATAAAATATTTTGATTTTTCAATGTTCTGGACAGACGTGGAGAGCACCGTTGGATATGCCTTCATTTGAATGCTGGACAGCGGTGAAACAAGTCACAGCCCACAGCTCTGCTTTCGAAATCATTCGCCATAAGAGGATTGTTATCAATATCATCAACTCCGGATGTTGACACTGAAGTACTCTAGCCAGGTACACAAGGGCTAACACAACCAAATGCTATTACATGCGTATTCCCATCTAAATGATTTGTCTTTCAGAGAAAACTAAGATTTGTGGACATGTTTTGCATTATGCCATCATACCCCAGTATGTCCTCTGTCTCTGTTTGAACCAAAACTCCACACGAGTGCCATCTATTCACTCTGACGGAAGGATCAACAAGTTGTGTGTCCCCTAACAGTAAGTTCATTAGTAGGCGGTAAGTAGAAATTGTACAACAACCTAATTGACACGTATCATAATATCTGGGTGATATCTTTAACGTATACACAGATTAAACGTCAGACAAGAGGCAGAGAGATGATTAAGTCAATAACTCAGAAGTGTTCTTTACTTATAGATGAAGAAGATTTCCGATAAAAGAGTTTAATAGTTGAGTTGACCCAAGTCATACCATTGGAAAGCTTTAACGCCGTACTTTAAGAATTTGACTCAGAGAATCTGCGATGAATAGTCTAGAAAGCGAACGCTTCAAATTACTTACCCTGCGTGCAGAGTCTAGTTAAACTACAGAAGACGAAGCTCTCTTTTATGAAGTGAAGTCAAACGAATGCAAAGGGTACAAATTACTCCCATTAATTATTCATTCTAGACGATCGTAACGTTCGTTAAGTTATACATACCGTCGTGAGCGCTTAGTTTAGTTCTAGATTCAAGACGTTACATTTTAAGAAACTATTAGTCAAACGAATGTAAAGCGTTTCAAGTGAAGCGCGAATTCTTAATGACTACTTTAGTTCTCATTGTTCTAAAACAAATCACGCCGTACACAGACTTTATTGATAAAATTAGACTACTTATCCCTGCAACCAACAACTATGTTATTTTGTGTATATGAATCAGGAATTGTCTGATGGGAATCTAAAGGAGGACAGCCACGACATCAGTTTATCAGTATCTTGATTCACAGGGACCCGTTTGAAAGTGACATTGAGTTGAACCCGAGTAAGCAAGCATGCTGAGCACATCATTTTTCTGGATCATCACATATGAAATCTGTGGTTCCAAATGAGGGGTAATGATAAATCCAGAACAATGAATCGGCCAAATACAGGTATATGGTGTCAAGCTTTATGCGTTTGACGGTGTAATGATGGTGCTTTTATCTCTTGATAATTACTTGGCTAATACTACTAATAATCTCCCATTACTTGTCGTATTAATCGATCATTATCATTTCGGATAAGTTTCAAATTGGACAACCCCAGCGGACCAAGTAATGCTTCGTTAAACCACATCGCAGGCTGACAATACCACCAATTAACGTCAAGATAACACCGCAGAAGCATCCTTTCTAGATCATGGCGCAGGGGATTTGAAATACAATCAAACGGACGATGACTCCGTGGACCTTTAGTACTTAAAGGTCACAGTAATGTTCTGTTCATTTTCTAAAACGTCCAACAGTTCTGATTTCATTTTTCTGATGATTACTTCAATTTTCAATTTTAATTTCATCTGAAAAAGAATGAAAATAGAAACTTTTGATTTTGATAATCTTTTTTGCATTCGCTCGTATATATATATTCTTTCAGAAAATAAAATTATGATTGCAAAGAAACTGTTGGCATAATTTTTGCAAAGATTCCTAAATAAATATAGTAAGTAGAAAACTTATTGTGAAGGTGAACCTGCCTTAAAACAGGTAAATGGTGTGATGGCAATGAAGATTTGGATAACATTTCTCGAGGACACCAATGACTGGTCGTGACATAGGATATAGTATGGAATAGATACATGTCTACAGTAATTCCTGATCGATAAACATTGGTCAAGTTTACAATCTAATTAATTACCAACACTGCTCTTGTAATGGCTGGTACCACGTGACGTGACATGAAGAGATACCTCGATGCCAAATATTATATAGGATTAATTACGTTTTATATTTATTTGAATTTGAGTGATAGATTGCAGTCAAATAAAGACTAAGCTATCATAAACAACAAAACCGGATGCAAACACAGACAGAATTCAATATCAATTGTAAAACAAATGCTAAGCCAAGTGAGCTTAACTCATTATAATGACTATTATTATAGTATTGTCTTATACACGGTGTTATAATATAACACCCGAAAACAATAAAGCCTACAGCTGTGAGAACGTTATCTAGCATTCTTTATGAAACATATTTTTTATGAAACAATTAGAAATGAGAGTTCACTTGCTATAAAAATTGCAAAGATGCATATTAATATTGTTTTAATATTGGGGATTCTGAAAGATGGGAAACTCAAAATAGCATCATAAATATCATACTTCAGATTATTCTGAATTGCATTGGATTACATGGTTTTAATTAAAGGATACAGAACAATATAGAACGCTAATTGCATGGATAACATTCCAGGTAATGCGACGTTCGTGCATAACGGTGCAGACATGGATAAACCGCCCATAGGAAACCTCAGCGATATAGCCGAAGTTATCATTGACGGTGAAACTAGTTTGGATGATAATATGCCTATCAAGACCGTTCTACCGTTACTGGGTCAAGTTGCGACAAAAATGGATCTATATTACAAACCTGTGATCACGTTAATAGGGCTGATATCCAATGCATTCATGGTTATTACATTAAATACCCCTGAACTGAGGACACTATCGATAGCTTCGTATTACGTAGCACTTGGAGTCTCGGATATCATTTACCTAGCCGCATCCTTTCTTATCTGGTTCCATAAAGTCGGGGTAAATGTTTTACATGTCAATGGTTTGTGTCAGGTATTGATGTATTTGACATACACGAGTAATTTCATCTCGACGTGGCTATTGCTGAGTCCAGTCATAGAAAGAGTGGCGCTACTGTGTAATGTGAACTGTGATGTTAAGAAACCGAGTGCCGTGATAGGGTTCGTCATTAGCCTCGCCGTGTTGTTCTACACGTACATTCTCTGGACGCTCGGTGTCTATAAAGGACCTATGGGCACTGTGTGTGCACCAAAAGAACAATACAGAGACCTTACAGATACATTATTCAAGATCGACTCTATCGCCAATTCATTGATTCCAGTTGTTATCACAGTCCTGTGTGTCTCGATACTCTTATCGGCTACTTTTTCCCGGACGTATAGACGCTATAGTCGCCATAGACGCTTAAGTCATTGTCGACGGGATGACAACCAAAAAGGAAGACCTGGCGTTTTACCTTTGAACACAGAAGATCAAGATTCTCAATACATGTTGATATTTGTTCTTGTAATCACAATATCGTCATACATATTGACGCTTCCAGCGGCCGTTGAGCGCCTCAAGTTCTTGTTCAGGGGTTCCGCTGGGCAAAAGGCAATCACCATTTATGATATATGGAGAAATGCGATTTTTATATGTATTCAACTGACCAGTTTCAGTACGAAACTTCTAGTCTGTATGTTTTTCAGTAAATTAAGACGCATTTTATATCAGAACATTAGACGATGTTTCAAAAGAGAGGACAATGATTTGGGACCAACTTCGACTGAAGAACTTGCTCGTATCACAATCCCGAACTTGCCAACACCAACTTAGCTCAGATATTTGTTTGCTTTGTACATGTTAATAAAATTCTAAATAAAATGGAATTATATTGTCCATTGATCAGCGAATGTACGAGGGGTGATCTATAAGTAATGGGCGCTTTTTTACACGGATGTTTTTTATGGACCTGTCTCTTTGATTTTTTCACCAGTGATACATCATTCAGTTATCTATCAACTCTGAAGATTCGAAGACCAAATATGTAATGCGTGTTGATATATCTTTATTTTCGTGAAGGGGGTACAGGTACCCCGAGACCGACATTTACGTCACATATTCTGAAGTAATGCCAATTTGGCCTTTTTGATATGCCAAAAGAGTTGTGTTGTTTGAATATCATGCTGCCTGTGGTAACACATAAAAGATTATAGTATTTTGATGTCAAAGTGTTGTATGGTCAAGGTTTGCAGGTTGATTTGAGATTGCACTGTGGAAGAAGGGGTTAGTAAGAGGAGGTAACACCGTACTCCATGTGGACAATGCCCCTGCCCAAATATCTCAAACTGTGCAGGATACAATATCCCTGGACCTGAATATGAAGCCCTTGGCCCATGCAGCCTTTAGTCCACACATGACTTATTTATTTCTATACTACTTATTTCTGTAGAGAAAGGATGCAGGTTTAATGACATTGATGAAATAGAACCAGCTGTGTAACTGCAGCTTTCTACCATGTCAGAGAATGGATTTGGCCTTGTCTTTCAATCTTGGGTTAAGAGGATAATGATGAGAGTGTAGCACTTAATGGAACCAATGTATAGGGCTCTGTAAAATGAAGGTGGCATAAATGCCACAAAGTGATGACAAAATATTCAAAATCATGGCGTAATCGGGTGTAATTCATAACCATCATGGATCGTTTTGTTCAACTTGCATTAAACTGCATTGCACGTTAAATGAGCTAAATAGCTTCAGAATGTGTGACTTTATGTCGGTCCCGGGGTACCTATACCTCCTTCACAGAAATAAAGATATATTAAAATATATTACATGCTTTGTCTCCAAATAGAAAATAGTAAATTGAATGATGTATCACTGGTGAAAAAATTAAAGAGATTGGTGTATAAAAAGCATCTATGTAAAAAAGCGTCCATTACTTGTTGATCACCCCTCGTATCACCCCTCGCGATCGTATGAAACGAAAGTCCTGACAAATTACGGAAACTGAACGGAAGAAATGTATGTGTTGCAATCGACCCAACAATGTAAGTCCAACATAGTATACTATGGTATATTATGATTTAAGCTCTATCATGGTATACCATACAAGCTCATCAGAGTATACCATTGTAAGCCTATCATGTTATACCATACATTATCATCAGTAGATAGAAGATATAAAATTGTTTGTAAATCTTTATATTTCATAAAAATCTGATGGTCTTTGCAATAGCTTTCTTTGGCGGTTTGCAGTATCAAGTCATGACAATGAGTACTGATTCAATGATTTGTGGGTTGTTTGAAGCAAGGGGTTCATGTATCACACCGGAATAGCCTGACAACGGTAAAGTCAGATACCGTTGTCACAAAGTGCGGACATAACCGTAGCTTCAACTCTTCAATCACTTGGTCCTCGTTTCATGGGACTTAATCGTCGCTAATTCTGTGCATGTATTAAGCTCTCGTGATAATGTATCATATATGAAATCGCAATTTCGATCAAATTGGGTCGTGAATCGCTACAATATTGCGCCTTCGATAACGTCAATGATAATCTGAATTTGGGACAACGGGATATGGTAAATTATTTAAGAGTGAAGAGTTGAAGCGACGGTTATGTTCGTCATTTGTGTACCCTTTGCATTCGTTTGACTTCACTTCTTAAAAGAGAGCTTCGTCTTCGTAGTTTAACTAGACTCTGCACGCAGGGTATCATTTGTGACAACGGTATCTGACTTTTAGTTGAGCCGTTGTCAGGCTATTCTGGTGTGTGTAAGCAGCTTGAAGAGAGGCAGAAGGTAGGTAGAATATTTACTGACAGCAATAAGGAACATGTGCACTCTTAAACCAGACACAATGCATAATCACATTCTTGAGTTATGATAACCTCTATCGTTTTTTCACACAAGACCATGTTTTTTTAATTTTAAGTTTTACGTGATAGTTCATGCTTCGTAATCTGATATAGGAGAAAGTGATAATAACTGCCTTGCTGTGTCTGAATATCAGTTTGATGATTTGATTCTATCCTTAACTTGTAATCGTCGTTACAATTGGTTAGTTAATTGGTTAGTTAAACCACGAGCAGTTAGTTAACCGGCGGTAGTTTGATACTTGTTCTTGCATCGTGCATGTTTGTTTTCTTCAAATTGATTGCACCGACTGTGTTCTGCATAGCAACGTGTTTGTGTAGATCCCAGTTGATCGTAAGACCAAGATTTTCTTGTAGGTAGGCATCTGATGGGTATGGAAACACCTGAAATACAAATCAAATAAATTATTCAACGGCATGCGCAAAGAAACACTCAAGGTGTTGCTCCCAGCATTCCTTGTCGATTCAATGATACTCATAAATGAACACCATAGTAAATAATTACTACCCCCCCCCCCCCCCTCCCCAAGTAAATGAATATAGTACAGATCTAAAGGATTATTGGCTGGCAATCTTCCTTGCCTGCAATATAAAAAACAGCCACAGCCACCCGGGCACAGCCATTTCAAGCATGCGTATTTATTGTTTACCTCAAATGCTTGAGATGATAGCATGTGATAAAATATATTGTGTGTAATTCTATGCTTTTCTGCGTATTTGGGTAACTTGAACTGCGGCTGTTAGTTTTTCTAATTGAAACGATTTGGTTTTCAATGTTTATTGTAGAAAGTACATATAAACAAAACATAGTAATGTGTCAATCGTCCTCAGGCCTTGCAGTCATATTGATATACAAAATAAGGTGGGGACTTGATTGGATCATGAGAGAGACCAATTAAAGCAATTTAATGAATGGATGAATGAATGAATTTGAGAGATAAAATGATGAGAAAATTATACCATTTATCTATAATGCTTTCTCTTTCTTTTTTATTTATTTCATTTTTATTATTTGATTATTTGGTCGTTTAAAATAAGTAATTTCTGGAGCTCTGTGAGCAGATTGTTTCTGAGGAAAATTACTTTTTTAAGATGGAGTATGGAAGCACAAAAATGCCAAATCGCCAAATAGTATCGCAACAAAAGTAGTTAGGAGTAGGAATCCCCTCCACTCTCCTCTTATATCCCAAAGTATGATCTGATGCACAAAGAAATAATATCCGACATCTACAATGGCCAATTACTTACATCATCTCTGAGACGGTTCATGAGTCTCTGTCCAACATTTTCTATGTAGAACTTTTTGTTTATCAGCACACATTCTGCTCCGTTGCTGACAAGGCTGAAGGAAGGTTGGGGACCACAAGTGAATTCAGCGATACCCTAAGTCAATAAAAGGGTAAACGTACATCAGGTTTAGAAAATCATAAATTAGTAAAAGAAAAATATATGTAAATGGATCAAGCAACATTACTGTTTGAACATTTATCATTTTAAGAATATATCAAAAGTACTTACAAAGACAGATCCCTTGGTGAGCGTTTGAACCTCGACAAAACAAGGCTGATCCGCAGGTTGTTGGACACTGAGTGGTTGCTTGACGGTTTTATCTTTATTGAACTTCCTGGATTTTCTTTCTTTCTTCTTATCACAATTCTTCTCAGAATCGTTATTGTCTGATGTCTCCATAAAGCGAACAGCTTTTGAACCTGGATAACAAATGTCTCTACTTACTACATTAAATTGGAAAAAACAAAAACAAGTTGCCTACTTATGAAAATGACATACCCATGGACCAGATTGTACTCTTCAATATATTACGTTAAGCAATTTCAAAAACAAGTTGCCTAATTATAAAAAAAATAATATTTTAGAGCATCAGGATGAGAATAATTACTACTGTAAAAGAAGCTCTCTTTAAAGAAGCGAAAGGAAACTATTGATGAAGAAAGTACAGTAGCTAGCTTAGTATAAGTATCAATCTACGTACGTGTCATAGCTTCGATAGTCTCTTCTTTGGACAATGCTTTGTTGTTAAGCGACTGCTCAGGCAAGTTTTGGTTTGGCAAGTTTAGGTTTGGCAAGTTTTGATTGTTTGAATCTGATTGTATTTTGGTTTCTGTAGCAGTAGCGACAGTAGTGGAATCTTCAGTAGTTAAATCTCTTGTAGAAACTTTTGATATATCGTTCATGTTTTCAAGCTCTTTTGTGTCTTTTGTCGAAGTCTTCAGAGATAGATTAGTTCCAGTCTTTATTAGGAACGGTCCCTAAAACAAGCACAATTCCAAACATAATATTAACAAGTATTCAGATACAAAACGTACGTTTTTACCAATCAGATTTGATACACAGCATTACGTCTTTTTATCAGTCTGACTTTTTCTGTGATCGACTACAAATTGTAAAAACATTTTCAAAACAAGTTCTTTACCTTTGAAGTCAGTGACATCATTGTGTCCGTTCTCTCCGTCTTCATTTCATTGCTTGTAACTTGCGACACATTTGTGGTAGCTTCTTTTGCTGCATGTTCTTCGTCTTCTTTTCGTTGATCTTCTTGACCTTCAGTTTCTGTCAATTCGTTCCCATCAACATCGTTTTCGACATCAGTGCCTCTGTTACTTTTAAATGTTTGAATAACATTAACCGTCTGCTTGAACTGGAATATGATTAAGGGCATACTTATAACTAGCCTGTTATTTGATTTCAATTTGGACTTCTAAGCTTGTCTTCCCTAGAGCAAATAGCGGCCATAACATAAATTAACCCATAATGTTAAAGATGTAATTACGAACAACTAAGCTATGCTTACACGAATGCAACTTTCGGCTGTCGGCTATCGGATTAACCTACTATTTTATGTGCAACTCATTTAGATATGAATAGTAACTGCTACTATTTCATTTAAATTTAAATGAGTTGGTCTTAAAATAGTAGGTTGATCCGGTAGCCGACAGCCGAAAGTTGCATTTGCGAATACAAGTTAAGGTTTTTATAACTAATATGGGTCATGTCTACGGCTACCTTTTTTAAATAGAAATAGGAATTAAACAGTCGCTTACCTTGGCCATGATCCTGTCAAGCTCCGTCTCACCCTTTAACCTTTTAGCTAGTTTTGTGACTGGAATATTAAGCTGTTGAATCTCATAATTATTGGTTCTATCAGTGGCTTTATCAATCCGAATCAGTTCTTCAACCATCTGATTTGACATCCTTTCTTTGTGATTCAACTCTTCATCTTTTAGTTTCTGTTCTTCTTGTATTGTCAGTGGCTTTGGTGGCTTAGTTCCAAGTGTCGGGTGAACAGTCTTTAGTTGTTTAAGGAGGGAACACGAGCCCGATTTTATGATGTAAATCCATGGTGTATCACGTGTATCTTTACAAATAATTGTTTTGCGTTTGAAAAACACAAACATTGACTTTTGGGGATATTTCGGGAGAATGTCAAGAGGCCATCCATTTAGGCATGGTATGGTTTTGAAAAAGGGGTCATCTGTTGCAGCTTTAAGGCCCCCGCTCATGAATATATTTATAAAGTCTTTAGCTGCTATTGCCATAAGTTCAATTTGCTGCTTTGATATAACAGTTGATTCTCTTTTTGTAGAGTTCACAATAGCTGCTTCGCCAAAGCTGTCACCTCTATTAAGGAAATGCAATGTTTTAGCTTGATCTTTTTTCTTATCCATTGCACTTACCATTGCTGACCCTGACAGTACAAAGTAGAACCCCATAGCTGTATGGCCCTCTCTGACAATCACCCGTTTGGCAGAGTATGACTCGTACCATGCACATTCTGCTATTTTACTTTGTATTGCCTTCGGGTATTCAACTATAGATTTATAATTTTGAAGGGCAATTTGGATATATCTTATTTCATCTTCCGTTCTTGTGTATGATGGCTTCTTCAACAATCTTACTAACTCCGATGGGGCTCTTGATTCTTTGTCGGCCTTGAAGTCAGTCACATCAAACAAAAGACTTTTCTTAGCTTCAATTTCATCCGCCATCATGCTAACTGCATCAACATAACGGAGAACATCTCTTTTCATCCGCTCGTGAAATTCAGTGCAAAGTCGGAGGAACTTCAACAAGAAGCGGGCAATCCTTTTGAATTTCAATCCAAGTTGGATCTGAAAGAGAAACACATCGACTATATATTTTTGAAAAGATAATAGAGTGAGTGCATCAATTTGCAATCAGTATTATAATCATGTTAAAATATTGTTTAATAGTATGCCTTTTTCGTTTACCCCTAATATCATGTTCTATATATTTATTAGATTTATTGCAAATCAAGATTGTACAGTGAATAACAATATAGCACAAACCGTACCCTTCGTTTTCGCCTGGCCATTTCATGTTTTGTTTGAACAATTCCAACAAGCCCATCGCTTACACTTGCTTTTCTATCAATCCGTTTCTTGTTCATCGTCCCAAGAACATTGGCTAATCTAACTGAACTCCTTCGCCTTAATAGGTTTCCTTCCTGGTTGTTCGCATCTTGAGATTCTTTTGAACCCCTCCGTCGTGACATCATCGAGGTGATTGTATTGGCTGCTGTAACATGGCTAAACACTTCTTTGACACTCTTCCTTCGACCTCCTGTGGGATCTTTCCCTATAATACTCGACCGTCGTCCGATTGAATATCTGTGATCCTCACTACCTTGACTGCTCACAAGGCTAGAGCCACTTGTTCGCCTAACGAGGCTATCTTTTCTACTTAGTCTACCTGTGAACGTTGACTCGGTAGATGAGGTACCAATTTCTTTTGAGACAGATTGCTGCCTACTCAATCGACCTTGTAATGTTGACTCGAATGACTGATTCATCATTGTATGTTGCTGGCTTATATTTGGCAATTTGGCACGTTTGTTCAATGATTCAAGATCGTCAGCACTGTTGATTGTCTCTAAGGTAAGAACTTGAGCTTTTGTTTTGTTAACGGGGTCGAGTTTGCTTCGACCACCTTTCAACTGTGTTCTCATGATCATACGACTGTTTAAACTTTGTTTTCGAAGTCCGGTAAAGTCCTCAATACCTCTGTCAATAATCTCTAATTCATCATTTGTAAGTTCCTTTTCAACAGCTGGGGCCTTTTTTGGTTTAATATCATATCCCATTTTATTGAGAGTAGTACGTATACTTGCTTTTCTATTTAAAAAAGGCAGTTCTGGTCGAAACACTGAATCCTCGCCGATTGACGTAATATCTGAATCAGATACGCTCCTCATACTAATACGTCTACTTCCAGCCAAGCTGGGCCTCCTATTGAACTTGGTGTTCATGGTTGAGTTGAATGATTTTGGTGCAGTAGGGGCATTAAGTGAAAAGTCTTCATGGAGAGTTTCGAGCTGGGATTCATCTGTATCAGTATCACCTTGGAGACAATCATTTCCAGACTGGTACTCCAAATTATTTGATTTTTTAACCTTTTTCAACATATTTGATCGTACTTTTAGACTCCCTCGTAACCTATCCAACATTCCTTCCGATTTCGATTTTGATTTCCGTTTCCTTTTCTTCTTGTTGCTTGGATTGTCCGAGACATATTCCCCCACGTCGTTCTGAGAATTTCCTGTCTTAACTGAATGACCTATGTTCCAATTGTTAGTCTCCTTTGAGCTTTTAATAGCACTTTGGTCAATTGCCTTCGCCATGTTGATGGTTTGTTGATCTTACCCTTTCTTCGACACAGAGGGTTGTTGGATAAGATCTGATATTCGTTTGCAGTAAGAGGATTTGTTTCTGATCGTTTAAAGGCTTCGGTAATATTTCTATTGTTAAACATTGTAAAGTGACTAATCATATTTAACAACTTTGAAAAGTACAATATTTTCTATAGTCGGTAATTCGTATTTATTAATCTTGGCTTATAGATTAATGGTTTATCAGATTAGTGCAATTTGTATAGACTGGACTTATTCCAAGTTCGTACAAATTGTCGTTCAGTCAGCCATTGTTCCCTGTAACAGTGTCCCTTTGTTCGTAATTCATGGTTCGTTGATACATAAGTTTCGTGTCGTTACCACTTGACTCCAAATAAATGTAATAAGGCAAATAAAATTCCTATATATCAACTTTGTAAAATCATATTCGTCCTTGGAGGATCTGGAAACGTCTGGAAAATACAAATATATTATATTTATTTATAAGATACTAAATAATTCAGTTTTCACGCGGTATTGTTTTTGATGCAACAGATTGCCCATTGTCAGTAATCCATTCAGATTCTTTTTATTATTTCCATTTGATGAGCATTTCCATAAATATCACATTTTTAAGATAATAGACATTTCAGTCATCACTAGTTTTTATGAAACAAGAACAACATTCTTGATATCTAATTTTAGAACATTAAGAGAATCCCAAATTATGTCGAATGCATTTTGGAAACGATATTCAAAAAACCAAAATGCCACAAATAATATACATCCATCAAAAAGCAACTTGATATTACAGTCACGTATTCTATAAACAACAAAACCAACAAACAATATATATCCAACATACGCATCAAATAAGCAATTTATATCCAGCATTCTAATATGATACGTGACGTCACAATAACTAGAACAATTTATTTACCGGTCTATATTGGAGTATGTATGACCGCTAAACTTCATAAATGCAAATAGTTGTGTTTCTTGTCTGTTTATCATATAAGAATCATAACGAAGACCTCGATTTTATGATATATGTCAAATATATAACCTCAAATTTTATTTACTCTATCGCTCCGCGATTTCGGTCTTTTAACAATGAACAGAATAAAAGTTTCGGTCATATATTACGCCATAAATCATAAAATCTCGGTCTTTATTCCTTAAATATATTTAACGAACAAACAAAATATATGCAAGACACATCAAGTTTCCAACAAACAATATATACATTAAACATATATATTTAACAAACGACATAACAGCATAATCAACAAAAGATGTATATCTTACAAACAATATATCTAACAAACATATATATCCAAAAATAATAATACTTTTTATTCAAAGAGTAAAAGAAACAACATAAAAGCATTTATCCAAACAAACAAGTTTAGAATTGCACCACAAAACATTATATGCCACAAGACGTTATAATATTATAGTTCAACCACCCAAAATACTCGTATATATATCAAATTGGAATCTGTACTGACGAGTACAAAATTAAGCATATCTTAGTACTCCTGATTTTTCGACATACGGTTGTACAAAGTGTCCTTGAAAATTAGTTATCAAACCCGTTAATAGTTCTTATAATCTAATTTCCTTACCTTTACTTATTTATGAGACATGTACACTTGCTGATTTCATGTATGACCGTCGGGAGGCTTAGTAACTAAAATAAAAGTAAAGTCTAATCGCTATAAATGAAATCAACATTGTCAATTATCTAAAGATACTAACAATAGAATATTGTCAACAATCTACTTGTAGGACATGTTTTATTATCATTTTATTTGTACACCCGGGATTAATTCTATAGACGAATGTGGTTTGTCTTTTTGTATTTATATAAGTGATTGATTGGAATCGTGAAATAACTTTTTCCCATATTTACAAAAGAGCGCCGTCTAAAATGCAGAGTCAAGTGATTTGATGATAAATCGTAAAAAAGCCTATTTGATTGTTAAACATTATAAAACATGTAAAGTTAAAGCTACTATTCTGTTGATAGTTTCGAAACAATAAAAGTTCTTACTTTGAATACACAGTTTTCGAATGATTTTTATTGTAACAATTTATCGAATCCTTTAATCTCAGAGCGACAATAGTAGGAAGATTATATTTTATTTATTAGAACAATATACTTACCATATAGATATTTCCTATTATGCAGCCATTGTACAACAATATGTAGCCCTACCCTGTGGATTTGGTAAGCGGTATTGAATAATTAATAACTAAAAGTATTAATTTTGCTACACAACTGAGAACGAACGTTTTCTATTTCTATTTCTGATTTCTATTGATGGATAAATCCTCTTGAATCTTACAAAATCTTCATGTCTAACACCCTTAACCATTAGTTTCTTTTCTGTAAGTGCTTGAGAGACTGTTGTCGAAATAGCTAACGACGGACAATACGTATGAGAGTCCTGAGACCTAAGTCATGTACTGTAAGTAACTCGTCCAGTCAACAGGGAAAACAAATTAAACAATTACAATGAATTGTTCTTTAAATGACATAGGAGCTATACCGGAAAAGTTGACAATATAACATTTAATATGTGATTATTTATCCATGGAATGTAATAAATACCAATTTCCGAGAGAGTAAATAGTTCCTACAATGTACCATTGGATGAAATTACAATATACTATTGATGATTTATTTGTAATCCGTGTCCAGATTGCAAATACTAATTTCATATTACGTATAGTTTACGGGGGGTAACAACTCCAAACACCAAACTAATTGTAACGTCTAGATTTATAACTTATTATGTCATGGGTAAACAAACATTTTATAGATCCACAAGTTCAATGAGTGTATATCAAATGGTATCTTCATGGACTTTGTATGTACGATTATTATTATGAATGTATATAAATAAAAAATGTGTTTCTTGTGAATAATTTAAATTAATACACAATTCTTTTATAATGATGGATTGTATACTGAAACAAAAAGTCAATATCAATTAACGTCTGTATCAGATCAAAGCCGTAGATCAACTGTGTTAATTCCTTTAGAAGCTATCGCGTTGGAGATTTAGGTCTCTCTCCAGGTGAATGTCGCACACACCAAGCAGTTTATTTTACCAGGGGACAAGGGGAACAGTATGTAACAGTGACTACTGTGACCAATGTTTTGGCTAAACTCATACCAATTTTGACAAATAATTTACTTATATTCAATAACCCAATGTAAGATGTCAGAAAAGCAATGCAGGCCTTACTGTATCATCTTATCACGTTCCAATATCGCATACAATCAAGGAATCCTATTAATCACCATCACCAAGTATATTTTTTGTAACTGAATACTAAGTTCTAATATCAGGCTGATATTGTTGTTGATTGGAGTATAGCTGTTCCATTGGCTGACCTTAATATGTCTATTGTCTCACCGTCTACGTATAAGAGACCTGAAAACAAACATTCCATTGTTGTAGTCTCAGTAAAATTGTGTTCAGTGGCATTATTAATGGATATTTATTACCTCTTGGGATGTGAGACTATAAAATGTATCTATGTACTGAAAAATCGATATAAAATATTTTGCAGAAATTGAAATATACAGTATGAAAAGACACCCCTCATGGCCTTCGATAAAAAAGATATTGCCGTAAATGGTGAGAAAATCGTACCAATTTTGTGATTTTTTTTGACTGTTTGCAAATGTTTCTGTTCTCTTTCCACTAGGTCATCTAGTTTTTTCTGATTTTGAACAAAGCAAATACCTGCAATACAAGCTGTCATGAAACACGCAATATTTCCACTAATCATTGCGCGTAACATTTTTGAAGCCATTTCTGAGCGTCGCAGGGGAGCCATGGCACCCAGCGCACCCAGATTGATCCCTATGGCAGCAACACTTCCAAACCCACACAATGCGTACGTCGCTATAACAACAGAGCGGGTCTGAAAGAAAAATTGGAGGATTAGAAAGTACATTGGTAGCATAAGAGAAAAACATTTTATTAAATAGATCAAGGTAAACACGTTGCATGACGAAATCTTCTAACGTTAGCACTTTGAATACTCTGGCATTATTTATTAATCAACAAATTAGGCGTTTAAGACCACAAGACTTTGACTTACATATATAACCTTGAGACCATGATTAAATTGTTTCATCCCATAGTTAGGATAATTAGTTTCCGTTTGTAATTTAGTGCAAAAACATAAAAAAAATTAAACATGGAAAGGGTAATGTATGAATTTATTTACCGAAATTTCACCAGCGTCAACCAGGGGTTGAAGTCTACTATATGCTACGAATTCATTCAGAAAGATCTTTGTTCCTATAAGACTCCCCACCTTGCCTGCATCCTCCCATTGTATGCCCATCATGAACGCAACTGGCATGAACACATAAGAACATATCCACTGCAAGTACATGTAATGTTTGTATTTACCAATGAACACATAAGAACATATCCACTGCAAGTACATGTAATGTTTGTATTTACCAATGAACACATAAGAACATATCCACTGCAAGTACATGTAATGTTTGTATTTACCAATGAACACATAAGAACATATCCACTGCAAGTACATGTAATGTTTGTATTTACCAATGAACACATAAGAACATATCCACTGCAAGTACATGTACTGTTTGTATTTACCAATGAACACATAAGAACATATCCACTGCAAGTACATGTAATGTTTGTATTTACCAATGAACACATAAGAACATATCCACTGCAAGTACATGTAATGTTTGTATTTACCAATGAACACATAAGAACATATCCACTGCAAGTACATGTACTGTTTGTATTTACCAATGAACACATAAGAACATATCCACTGCAAGTACATGTAATGTTTGTATTTACCAATGAACACATAAGAACATATCCACTGCAAGTACATGTAATGTTTGTATTTACCAATGAACACATAAGAACATATCCACTGCAAGTACATGTAATGTTTGTATTTACCAATGAACACATAAGAACATATCCACTGCAAGTACATGTACTGTTTGTATTTACCAATGAACACATAAGAACATATCCACTGCAAGTACATGTACTGTTTGTATTTACCTATCAACACATATGAACATATTCATTGCAAGTACAAGTAATGTTTGTGAACACATAAGAACATGTCCACTGCAAGTACATGTAATGTTTGTATTTACCAATGAACACATAAGAACATATCCACTGCAAGTACATGTACTGTTTGTAGTTACCTATGAACACATAAGAACATATCCACTGCAAGTACATGTAATGTTTGTATTTACCAATGAACACATAAGAACATATCCACTGCAAGTACATGTAATGTTTGTATTTACCAATGAACACATAAGAACATATCCACTGCAAGTACATGTACTCTTGAATGTAATAACCTACCCTGCGCGCAGAGCTTAGTTATAAACCACCGAAGACGAATAGAAGCTCTCTTTTAAGAAGTGAAGTCGAACGAATACACGGGGTATGAATAACCACAAATCGACCTTAAGTATCTTAACTTCAGATTATAGATTTGATTTTTTATCAATAGTTCTGTAACGGTTTGTTTGTTGCTTGTTTGTTCGTTTGATTTAGTAATTGATTGTTTGTTTTTAGATTTTAAAAATAAATACAATATGTATTGAATAACTTCAGTACCTCAAAGCTGACTTCCGGGTAACCAACTATCGAACCAAGGTAAGACAATGTTGCATTTAAGAATGCTAGTAATGATATGAAGGCTATGAGATTCACCACAACGCCTGCAACAAGTTTAATGGCAGCTACTGCTCCATTACTCGCGGCTTCGAGAATATTCCTCTCGCTCCTGAAATGAAATAAGAGTACTATAATAAATACTTGTGCAATAATTGTCAAAATAGATATTCTAATTGTCATTTATGCTTCATAGTTAACTGGACTCCATGTCTTAATATTTTAAATTATCTATTTCACGAGATCAGATCGATAAACAGAGACCACTTAATTGAACTCAGGTTTGTTTGTCTTCTTAAAATGCTTCCTGAAGTTTCTGGTCATCTTCTTTGCTTACCCTTTCTCTAGCTTTACATCATCTTGGGTAACAAGACAAGATTCCTCCGTCTCTGGAAAGTTAAGTTTGGCAATTGCAAGAGCTGCTGGGGCACTCATAATCGCTGCCGATAGTACATGTTCTGCTGGGGCCTAAAATACATAAACACAATTTATGGAACGTGGAGCTAGTCAATAGCATATTCGTCCATTGCAAACACAAAACTTCTTCCAATTCCTTAGATAGATATAACTGCCATTTTTGAACTTGCACATAGTTGAATTATTGAATTCTATCCAAAACATAGTTATTGAAAACTTTGTGAATATACACACCATTTTCAAATTCGATTGGAGAGTTGTCAGTTCGTTTGCTTAAGTTATGAATATTCAAGTAAAACCAGGTTTGCTTTTAAACACAAAATAGCGTATTCGTATACCTTGAAATTGATGAAAGCTGCGACAACTGTTCCTGCAATGGTGGCGAATCCTCCTGTCAATACAGCGTGCAATTCAGACTCCGTTAATTTCATCAAGAATGGTCTCAGGATTACACTGGATTCAACCTGGATACAAAAACAAAGATAAAAAATAAAATAAAGTGAACATCGACGATAAAATAAGTCACCCCTAGCATTATACACGGAACGACAGAGAAAATGAAAAGCACCAACGCTACTAGAACGAATTTGCAATGCACGAAATACAATATACGTAAGTGTTGTTCCATCTATACTGACCGTCCTTAATTACATGCTCCAGATATCATAACAATATACATATAAAAAATTATGATAAAATATTAATATAAATATATAAAAAATATAATACCAGAGTGATGAATTTGCACAGAAGTATGCATACCTGGCCTAAAAATATGTTTGCAGCAGCACTCAGGGATTCCACTCCTGTGGTTCCCATGGTGACCTGCATCAACCATGCAATCTTAGAGATGATGATCTGCATCACACCAATGTAGTATAAGATGGAGATGACGGAACTGAAGTACACGATAACAGGGAGAATCTGAAAAGGTAAAACAAATCTAGACAATGGCTAATTAAGCGATGTGGATAATATACGTACCTATAAAGGGAGGCACTTCTGAATTAATGAATCCATGAAACATTACAAGTCACACCAGCAATAATATACGATCTCATCCAGATGATAGCCAATTTAGCGATAAGGACGATATGTATGATAGTATGATATGTACCGAGGGGCACTACGGGGTCATTGAATTTCTGAAACATTCTTAATGATTCCGATTGTAAAAATATAATGCATCTACATAGTATCACATTAAAATCAACTATAAAAATAGCATAACAACGGTATAACAATCCTAAATTATGGCTGACTGGACTAGGACTTCATCCTAGGCTGACGACAATAACATTGAAATGTACAAATCGCCCAAATGTAAATAAATCATTATTGATGGTTTCTAATTTCACAAGTTTTTCACATACCATGTAAAGACAGAACGTTACAATGATTTCCAAAGAAAAAAACGTTGGTTTCATTTCTATAAACGTGTTCAATGTATTACAAAGGGATCACCCAAGGGATGTGATTGTAGGTATTAATTTCTCTTGTGCTGTCTTTCCATTTCCCGGCCAGAACTTTGTGTTTTATATATTTATACCTTGAATGCCACCGCATGGAGAAGATATTGAGGATCTCCGAAAACAAATTTGGAACCCTCATCTGTATATGCTAGGAATGTTTCCACTTGACTTCCGATAAACTGGAAGGCTGTATATCCAACGGACCAACGAAGCACAAGTAGACCAAAGATGAATTGAAGAGCTAGCCCCCAAATCACTGGTCTCCAGTTTACCTGTAAAATGCAAACAATGTATGTATCAAGTATCATTTTATAGATTGTTTAACAACATAAATTAGGATAAATTCTGAAGAGGATGTTATGTCTATAACTAAGTACCACTGGTTAAATACAGTTCGAACAAAAGTTTAAGCACATGCATTTTACATAAACACAGAATAAACAATTGCTGAAACATTCAATAAAAACTGTACTTTTATGAGAAAGTAAGACTACAATGTCAATAGTAGGCTATGTATATAAAAACCTACTTTATGGGGACTTTTTGATGTTATGAATAATAACATGACCCACAGAACGAGTCCCCCGGCAGAAATGAGTTTGTCTGGTTTCTCTAGCGAGTTTAACACCAGGAACACAATGAGACCAACAATTAGGCAAACGTACACGAGCCTGGAATAAGAAGAAATCATGAATATGTGAGTACTTGAAAAGTTGACTCTTATGGTAGTAGGGTACGGGAATCTGTCAAGTTATTATGCTGTCTGTTTCATTTGTTCGTATTATGTCGATCATGCCACAAGTTATGATGATTTCCAAGTGCTATTCCTTGTGAATGAGTATCATAATATGGACCCATGATCTATAATTCTAAATCTTCTATTCAAAATTAGTCTTACCATTTCAAGCATGGCCATGCCTTGTCTATGTATATTCCTAATGGTACACAGACCACCTCGTTTATCCTCTTTCCATGCCGATCTCTGATATAGCCATACACAAGACAAACAAGGACAAACACAGTGATTACAATCAAAGCAATGGCACCAGAGGGACTGAGGTAGATGGCATAGCCAAGATACGCGCTGTACAACAGAATGAGTATCACAAGAACAATTCTTGAAATAAGCTTTACATTATCAGTCATTAATCCTGTGATTGAGGTGTGTATTGTTGCGATTCCTCTTGTGCAACAGTTCCCGTCGTTATCACCTTCGTTTGTGTCTTTCGTGTCGGTTAAGTCTGAGTCAATTGCAATTGATTCCAAATCTTGTTTATGTGCTTTATTGGTGTCTTCGCTAGCATACTTAGATGCATAGTACACGTTATTTAGTTCAATTTGGTTTCCAGTGTCGTCCGCTTGGAAAGCTTTGTTATGTTTACCATCCATTTTATCTGTTGTCCTCTGTCCAGTCACCGTCCAGGTTGTTTAACTGTTGTTGTAGTACGAAATAAAAAATTCTTAATGTTTGCTGTTCGTATTGAATGATCGCTGCTACTTTAAGATTGTCATGTGTTTCGAATTGAATTGACCCCCCTATATAATTATATTGACTCTCTCTTATCGCATTATTCTTGGCCACTCACTATTCAAGATCAAAACCAGCAAATTGTTGACTCCGAATACTTTATAAAGCTCTGCTAAAGTCAACATTGACAGGTAGTGCTAATACATGTTTTTCAATTTAACATGCATGCTCATAAAAACCCAAAGTGATATCTGACATCTAGGTTTGAATTCGATGCCTTTGTCAAATGAATAATTCTAGAATAATTATTCGGTTATATTCTTTGAAGTCTCGGCACTAATTAGTATGTATGTCGTTTGACATTGGGTCGCCAATATCTATGCATATATGCATAATGCCGCATAGTGCCCCTTTTAGAACTGCAGAATAGTTTTATTTAGGCTATTAACGTTTATGTTTGTTTGTATTTGTTATATAACTGTTGATCGTTATGCTCTCTGATCGTAAAGGGTATGTTATTCCAAAACAATAAAAATAATTTCTGAGATTGCAGTTCTTGTTTTGCATCATAGATGAGAAATGAAGAGTTTAGAAAGATCTCAAGTGTGTGTGAGTGAAGTAAGCTTTCCCTTGACTAGACCTGTTTCGGTGTTCGTCTGTTCTTGCTATATAGCCTATTTGCAGTGAATGTTAACTGAATGGGGTTTGCTTTTGTTTTGTGATTGTGTAATGTTGCTTTCTGCTTTTTAACTTTTTCAGGACGGACAACTAATCTAAAATTATTTTTGATTTTGAAATATAGATGGCTACATGAGTCACGAAGGAAAATGCTATATCGGGTTAACCCAACTAATTGTTATAACATGCGTATTCCCATACAAACAATCTGTCTTCAAGAGAAAACTAAGATTTGTGGACATGTTTTGCTATCATTGCATCATACCCCAGTATGTTCTCTGTCAGTCAAAAAAGTTTGAATCAAAACTCCCCACGAAAATCAAAAGATCTCACCTGTTGAAGACGCCATCTATAGAAAATGTCAAAAAATGTCATTCTGATTTTGACAGATGGAGGCAGGTCAAAAAGGTCAAATTTTTTAAAGAAAATGCACCTTAATCACATCAAATCATGTCTCAGAGTTGGTCCACACATACACTTTTTCATTCATGTACTTACCAAAATCCAACCACTGGTGATGCTAATGTAATTACAATAATTGGACTATATTTTTGTTTTTATAATGCCATCTATTCGTCTTCCCACTCGGCGGAAGGATCTAATGGTTGTGTGTCTCCATCGTAGACTACTTCACACAACTTTTAAAGTAGTTCCTTTTGATTTTGAAAGATGTCTCATCTGATCATTCAAATCAATTTCCATATTTTAGCGTCTTTTAAGTTGTCCTTACTAGCTATAGTTGGAAAGATGGATCTGCTTTAAATGATTGTTGACTTTGAATAATTATAGAATATTACAATGATAAATCCAGTACCGTTCATTTACATATCTACGAATATGAAGAAATGTAATATTATAATTCGTTTAATATTTTGAATGTGTCAACCCATGATATAATGTAATTAGCTTATGTTGCATGGTGTCACAAAACTACGGAACAATATGGTAGTAGCCGGGACAGAACAAGTCATTCCTCTCTTTTTCCTGATAATTTTTCCACCTTCAATGCTCAATATTTTTTTATGAAAATTTCACAGGATAGCCTCCAAAGCATTCCTAACATACAAAGTATTTTGTTACACTCGTTATCAATTTTCATTTCAGTTACAGCTTTTTGAATTGAAAATGATGCTGAACTTCTGTTAAAGAACCATTTTCTTTTTTTTCATGAAAAATTATTGAGAATTGAAAGTTATCGGGAAAATAGATAGGGATGACATGCTCTGTCCCGGCTACTAAGCACTAAGCATGCATATCCTATCGATGAAAAATTGAAACGCTAATCCATCTTTTATATGATACTTCAAACATTAGGCTTAATATTTATGCTGAGCATTGACAACTAAAAATGGAACTCGGCACGCCATAAAAGAACATTGCAGTTGCAACAAGTTCAAAACGAAAACGTTTATAGGACATGTATACTTATATTAGTACCAATAATTTAATATCATCATCTATATAACTGTTTGTTCCATTAGTTAATAGCAGAATCAGATCTATAGGCGTGACGAAATTACAAGCAACATGAACAAATGACCTACCTATTTATTCCTTACAATCTCAAAACTTATATCCCAAAAGATTCATCACGATATGTTGTAAATTGTCAAATTGATGAAGTTATTATAGATTCAAAGTGCAAAAATGGGTGAAAATGTTTAAATTCTCACAAATAATAAGAATGGTAACCAATAAATATTACATTATTGTAGAACTCTTTAGTTTTCCTGAAATAAAGTGTGCACATAGGGGATTTTTAGAAAATAGATATGACAAGGAATGTCATGAGCCAATATTCTAAATTAAAACAATTTTTTATTGGCCTGCTTGCTATATCTGATTTTCTCTAATTATACGGAAGATTTTAATAAATTAAAATGAACCTGGGAAGAAGTTGCCTAAATGGTTCATACCCTGATCACGAGCACCTCAATGTTTTAAATTAATCATTAATTGTATCAAACTGACTTGCTTATGAAGATACTTCATCTGTAAAAAATGCCCAAACGGTGTCTAATACATAATATATGATAATTTATAACATCATGAACGTTACACTGGCGACATGATGAAAGTAGATTTGGACAAGACGCGTGGTGTCCAACAATACACCGAAGAAACAAACAACCAAGAGCATAGAATTACTGATGACATTATTGTAATTTATGTATGTTTTATCGTCATTTATTAATTACATTAACAATTAGTAGGCTCTGGTCGACGTCGCAGTGAATGTTTATTGAAGGTGGAATACCTCTTCGAGGGGAGGAACGATCGTTGTATTGTCAATGCTCCTTGGGTCGGAAGAAACATTTGTACTCTTAACTCTAGTCTTTAATTAAAGCTACCGCTCTTTAACTAAACCACAAAACAGCCATAAATTATAGATTCTCAAACGGCTACAAATAAAAGTTAAATATATTGTGGTATTTAATCAAAACTATTTTACATGTTAAGTACCCTGATTAGTCCTCCTATGTGAAGTAAAGATTTATACCTTCCCAAACATGTTTTGTGTCTTTTTCAACGTTTACCACCGCAATTCTATCATTGTATATAATTATTAAACAGTTGTCTAATTATTCCGCAAGGTGGTCTTTCTCTGTGAGTTACTCTGGCAATTTTGTTGTTTCAATGGGCCATGCTTGGTTTCTAATGAGCTACAGGGCAGTTGGTCCCTGTTGGAGAACAATCAATCATCAACAACAGTGTTACTGACACCCCTATGTAGTGCTATAAGGATTTAGTTACCTCCAATACAGTAGTGTTTTCTGTGTGAACACAATCAGTTGAGCTGCAAATTTATTTTAGATTCGAGTTTAAAAAATTGGTGTGATAGTACCTCAAGCTGAATGAATATATCACTGTCTCATGTTAAAGCACATATGAAAATAATGTGTTGGCACAAGGAATTGATATTCTTGACAGGACTAATCCTAGTTATTTCATAATTATCGTCTATGAGTCTATTATCTATGCTCTTGAGTAAGAGTCGTGAATTGTACCGGTGGGAGCATGTGTCCCGGGAGAAACATAAGAAAATCTTATTGGAAAGAAAGAACAAATAACGGGAATAATATAGGGTTGTTATTTCTTCTTTCATTACTTTACAGTTGCGCTATATAAATCAAAGAAACGCTAAAGGTGTTGAGAACAAACATAACAGTGATTTCACAAAGCTAGCTCTGTCTCTTATGTCGCAATATGTCACTGAAAACTACCTCGAATGCTCGCATTTCCCATCATTTACTAATGACCATACCGGTTTCTAATTATCTCTTCGACTTTGCAAATGGCCCTTAGAAATCATTCAACATGTCAGAATCTCCGCGAAGCACGACCCAATGGCTAACGAGCCAATGAAATGATAGCGCCTGCGTGCATAATTAATACCCGAAACCGACCAAAACATCCCCGGGTATCATGTACTATGGCTGTGTTACCACGTACGGTTAAGCATCAATAAATATCTTTGAGGAACGCCGCTAATTAATTTTGCCATATCTTATGATTCTTCTGATTGGTCAACTAGTTGTGGGCCATTTTGGTAATTGAATTAGGGACCAATTACCATCAGTAAGGGACGATTAGTAAGTACAACAGCGCAAAACGAGGACCATATTAACGTCGGCGAGTGTTCCGCTGGCCATTTATCTTGCAACAAGGGAAGTCTAACACTTGATACGTCATTCGAAAACGCTACTTACGCCAACTTAAGACTAAGAGGAGCACACGACTATAACGTGAATTTTGAGTGTTTCTTAAAAGAGATTCATCTAAGACATTTTGGTCTCCGTTTATGACATCGTTTATGAAGACTGAAAAGAGTCACAGTTGTTTATCATTTCATAATATATCTTATATAAGTAACCTCAGAGTAGTCGGTGACTTTAAAGTACAAGGCATATACATTAAAAGTAATCGGTAAGTAATACTTTGGGATAATATTTAGAAATTAAAGAAAATTATATAATGCAGCTAACATTACGGAAAATAATTTTCGTTTTTTCATGTATACAAATCAAATCAAGAATCACATTATCATGAAATTATAACAATTAAATAGTCATTAACTTATTTGAACTTTTAATCATGAATTTTGCACATGAAAGGATGATTGGGATCAAGTGCAATTGCTAGGCAACTGTATAGGGATGTACAGGGACGAACATCGTCACGAAATATACAAATGACAACCAAATAATAAACAAAATTCAAAATATTTATGATCAATTGAAATATTAAATTATTTTTCAGGTTTAAATGATGAGATAAAATGTCCAGTAGAGCAGATAGTTCATCAGATTCGGATGATAGCTTACACGAGCGCTACTCCCCCGTTAAGGTAATGGCTTTGTCTCAGTTACCTCCCCCAAGGAACCCATCAACCAGCAAACCAGTCACTAGTTTTCTTATCAGAGACATCCTTCATAAAGATGCTGCAAAGAGCGCCCAGAAACGTAAAGAATCGAGTGTTTCCTCACACACGCACACACACGGACCTTTAAGCCCTTTAAATAGGTTTCATAGTAGTACTTTACATCAACCACCTCATATAAGGGGACCCCCATCACACGGACACTTTTCACCCCATATAGGCCTACAGATTGTTCGCCCATGGGATGCAGCATCTTCTAGGAAACGATCTAGTTCAATGGCTGCTCTTGATGATGTTGATTCAGAATCAGACAATAGCGATATAGAAATAGACATAGTTGGAGACGAAGAAGAAAAACCCAGTCCAAAAGTAAAGACCAAATCAAAAGTTTCCCCTTTAGATGCCCTGTTTGAAATGACAAGTAAAACGTTTGATGGAAATGGTACCAATGCATTAGCAGGTAATTATATTATAAAACATATCACTACGTATGCTATATTCGGATTATAATTTCTATTAAAACCACCACATGACATTTGTGGCATTAGTTGTTGACTCCAAAATATATTTTAATTACCTGTAAATTAAAAGCAGGTTATAAATGTAAAATTAAGGTGTATATCTAAATTCTCTCTTCAAAGGCACCGAAGTATACATCAAACTAACAATTTTTAAAAATTGTTTATAAGACATAATCTTCAAATCTAATCCTAACTCTAATCTTTAAACTCTCGGGATTTCCTATACACATGTTTAGACGGAAACCATGGAAGTCTAAAATGAAATAAAGGGAAAACACAAATATGTATTTTATTTTGTAATGACTCTCTGATCTCATTACAATATACAAAACTAATTATACAAAACTTATTATAAAACTTATGATAAACTAAAACAAGGCTTAACTAGCTAGAAAATGTAAATTGTAAAATATTATATAGAATGACAAAATCGTAAAAATATCAATCCAATTATGTATTAGTAACTAGTTTATTATCGTCAACTGGAAAAGATCCCCATTCTGGACAACTTCTAATTTGAAAACAACGACAATTATTTGTGCATCTAAAAATAACAATAATACAATTCACAATTGTGTATATTCTGTGATTCGGTCGTACTTTACCATTTCATTTCCTCAACAATTGGGAATTTGATAACAGATCGCTTTCTAAGACATATGTCGTGAGTTTTCTTCTTCATTAAATAAATGTTTTTCCACTACCTTCTTAATCACTATAATTGGTACAATTAGCTTCAAACAATCAAGTATTAACCACTGGGTATTCTTTATCTAATTATATCTACATCACGACAATTGATTTGACGTTAAAGTGGAAAAGTATAGACAGTTAATAGAAGCCCCTTACGGCAATTTTATATTAACTCGAGTGAATTTTGACATTGATACGCTATAATTTACTGGTATTCCACTTTTAATGGAGTTTATTAAATTTGGATGAAATGATATATCTATGTTGTATTGTTTTTCTTAGAGAGCACAAATGTCTTGGTAATAGAATATTATAAATTATATAATGTGGAGCTTTGATGTCTTGTACCCTCAATTTAAACTTATCAAAAATTAATTGTTGGCTTTCTTGAAAATCAACCTACTCTAACCTTCTTGGGTTATTTACATTACTGTTAATTTCTCTGTTTCAAAAAAGTTTATTTATCTGAATTGGATAACAATCAAAAACGATGAAGATCATTACACGCACAAATATCATTACTACTTTTGTTTTTTCTTTTCATTTTTTCTATTATTTCTATATTGTAGTAATTATGCGACGAAAACATGGTTATTACCAAACAACGGATGACGCTTATATTAAAAGTAAACACAGTAACAAAACTCAACCAACAAATCCTGATACGCATTATAGAACTATCATAAAGTTTGAATATGTGGTGGTTCTTGCGCTTGTTGAAAAGTTTTAAATAATGTAGAAAAAATTGGCTGCATTTGAGTTCATCTGGAACATTCTGACCCGTTTTGGGCGGTGATGAGTGGTGTATTATCCAGAGGCAAATTCTTCCAAGACCATTCTAAGTAAAACAATCATGTTTAAACATAGGTGAAATCCCAATGGTCCGCATTAGTGTAACTATATGACTAATTACTCTTAATATATTTCAAATCTCCATGGCAACCGATAGCCTATGAGATGACACGGTACTAAATTGCTAGATAACTCCTGGATCACGGTTAATGATACCTTTTATGCCCATTTAACTAGTCACTCAAGTTAATTGATGTTTGGGAAACGACAAATGTATAATAAAAACATGTGTCCCATTAAGACAGAAATGATATGTTGATATGTAGAATGATATTGTGTTGAATGATTATTTAACGCAAACACGTAAACAGTCTGGGAACAATGTACAGTCCGTGGTGGTCGTTTGGCTCCAATATCAAACATTCCATGGGGATAGAAAATTTGCAACACTCTCAACATAATACCGATGTATTGATATACAAATTTATGATATTCTGATTACATATTTCAATTAATATCCAATCAACTTTGGACAATAAGTTACAATCTTGTTTAAAATTGTGAGGGTGCCATTTCAGTGAGTCGGAATATATCCTCCCAGGTCCCGAGAGAATTGTTACAATTTGACCATTAAGTATGTTGTCTTTTACTTACAACTTTTGTAACCACTCGGCTACCATTACAGAAACAATATTTTCCTTGGAAGATCACTTACTTGTAACAAGTCACCTAGTACATAAATACCACAAGTTTCTGCTAACTAGATGGAAAGCTGACATGCCACTCTTTGAGCTCATCTTTTCTATACATATGCAGATTCTTAAATTCCTAAGTTCTGGCATTGGTGAATTACTGACAGGTTTGGCTAAGCCAGCCGAGAACACTAATCTCTTCGAAAAAATTGTTAAATTATTAATTTCATAAATTCAATGAATATATATTTTGTGGTGTATCGAGAATTATGAATATATTCATTAAATCACATTGCACATATAACTTATTCAAACTGATATCATACCATGTATATTTTCATTCATTGTAAGTACTAACTACTATTTTTAACAATGATATAATGAATCGTGGTACATCATGAAAATAAGCACCATACACGAAATAGTCTTGCATTGTATATAAAAAACAATATTTATCAAAACTAGTTAACAAGATGTGAAATATGGCCTCAACTGTCTAATGTAGAATGAAGGAAACATTATATTGTAAGTAAGTAAACATAGAGAATATAGTTAGATTTTTTCTTGCCCGTGTTTGATGTGTAATAGCAAGAGATACAGATACAGGTTTAGTTCACGTGTTGTCTGCTTGTCTTGGTGCCTAATTTGCAATTCTGGCAACAATGTTTAAAATCTATATAAACTGTGGACCACTTCCAAAATGCATTTGTCAAGCTTAACAAAGGTATACCCACAAACCATGGTATAAACAGACTTTCGTGTGATTAATTTCGTGTTTACCGAAATGTCATGTTTTTCATGAAAAAGATGATAAGTTATGATTCTGATACTGATTCAGATCAAATTAACTCTGTTTTCATCCTTCTATGTATGTTTTTCAACCAGGAATCATTAGCATTGAAACTCCTTTGAGGATGGATTTCTGCTTCACTATGTATCTTTAAGTATTCGTTATTTATGTATCGAAATTAATTAAACTCTTTAGTCATGGCAAAATATGATCCAGAATATTTAGTGGCGTATATAAAGAAGTAATTTGATCATAGGGATGTGCTTGATATATACTTCCCGATGTCTTTTAACTTAGATAGCGGTTAAACATGAAAGGAAAGATAGACCCGACTGAAAATTATTTTAAGAGGGCTGTTAGTGATTTACAAGCTGATGAAAATACATTTCCAGTACCATTTTACTGCCCATTTTTCTCCCCATATCGGACGATAATGGCATCTAAAGCATATTTCACCATGACGCCATGTGCCAATGTGGAGGTCTTTATCAAAGATCACATCTAATTGGGTATAATAACACTTGGCAAAGTGAGAAAATATGAAACAGAATGACTCAAATTAGTTTCGTAAATTCATTTTAATTATTTATTGAGTAAAGTTTAATCGTTCGTATTTGTTCTGTCGATCGATCTTTAATCACTAATCATTGTACTGATCTGATATGTTTTCAATAGTATCTAGCTCTGACTGATGCCCTTTATTATGGAATCTTTTGGGGATTTTTGAGTATAATTTTATGGCTTGTCCTAATTCATTGAATTTATCCGTTTGTTGGGTTTTCATTGTGACTATCTCCTTCAAACATTACCCATTGCGCATTATTATGATTTGATTTGAAATTTAGATACTTAAATAAGTACGGTAGCAGGATCTCCAAGGGTATTTTCTTTGGAAGGACACCTCATATATTTCCAAGTTAGTTCATAAAGTTTCTTGGTAAGAGGAGCCGATCATTAGCGGAGTGTTTAATGTTTTTGCTTGTGATTAAAGTTTACTATCATAGTAAATGTTGCTTATCACTCGCCACCAAAACCCAGTGTAAATTAAATGTTGGGGTTTTCCACTAAGTGTACGTAATTACTACTTTTAACCAGTGATAACCCCTGTATCACTTGTAAAATTTTATCAGTTTATTCTGCCTGGTTTGTAAATTGTTGCCCCACATCCAGACGAGTTGTCATGGCAACAAGACTATCACTTGTTTATTTAAATTGGAAGAGGTGTAAAGTCAAATATTTATAAACTTTGAAATCACAAGGATATGCTTTACAAAACTTCACGTTGTTGTTAAAATAAAAATATAGATAATATAGATAATAGAAAAGAAGCAAAATTACCAATTCTTAAATTAATTAGACAATTACATCATAGAAAATTAATTAACCTAAAATCTCAAGTTTGGTTATTATATAAGTATTACGAATAACTATTACACAATTGTTTAACAAATGGTGTTTGATGTGAACGGGACAATGTTAGTGTGGATGGGTTTCTTTACTTTCAAATAGCCCGAAATCCCCAGGGGGACAACCTTGTTAAAGATGCTTAATGTTTCTATAGAATACAACATCAAGGCCGGGGGACTATGGAGGGCATAACCTATAGTAGTTAATACAACTTATACCATATTTAATGGTATTTTACCATTGTAGGCCGACACAACTAAACTATTATTATAGCAATACAGGTGCACTGCCCAAGGAAAATTTTGTAACTTATTCCTCCTACTTTTGAAATGTTTTTCTGTAAGAAGACTTGTTGAACGACCTAGGATTGTGTTCTACCGACCAAACTTCACATCACACTTGGCTTATGAAAACAATATAAACGATCCCTTTAACCTACTAAACATATCAATTAGATACATTTTTGGTCACTTTAGAAACCGAACAAAATGATATTTTAGTTCAATATCATGATACCAAGTCCTTGATTGTGTTAGAATAACAGTATATAGTAGTGATTGTAGTA